TCATGACGAGCAACTGTGACTTGACTTGATTCATGAAGATCAACCGAGACTTGACTAGACTCATGAAGATCAACTGTGACTTGACTTGATTCAGGAAGATCAGCTGTTACTTGACTTGATTCAGGATTGGCAGCTGTGATATAACAGGGCGCTGTTGTGTCCGCCATTTTGCGAGCAGACGCGGTGTCGCGTTTCTCCGCGACACCCACACTGAATGATGAACCAACAGTCAACAAAGCATAATCCATAAACTGAACGAGTGACGAACGCGGACCCTCTCGAATGAGCTTTGACTTTAACGGCTGATTAATGCCCTCGCAGAAAAAGTCTATCAGGACACAGTCTGGCAGATCAGAAAAGTAAGATAGATCTAAATACTTTTGTACATAGTCCTTGAGCGGTCGCGTGCCCTGCTCAAGGGCTAATAATAGTCTTGCCATATCCATACCTGGCCAATGTCCGCGTGAAAAGCTGCTGGATCCTTGTAGGGCCGAGTATTCTGTTACGGAGTAACCAGAACATGAGACATGCGGATCCATGTGCAAAGCTTTTATTAAAAGACGTGGTCACAAACACAGGCAGGGTCGAAACACCAGCGAACAGGTATGGTACGGGCAAAACACAAGAGCAGTCCAGTAAACAGGCGTGGGTCGATCGATGGTGAACAATATCCAACAGGGCAAGGCAAAGAGAGATAATCCAGGTACATAGCAATAATCCAGGCAGGGGCGAACAGAGTCCGAAACAGCAAGACAAAAAGGGTAATCCGAAAACACAGGCAAGAATCTGAACGCAGGAAAACAGGCAAGGCGAGACTATGACTAAACTAGCAAAACTGGAACTGGCTCCGTAAAGTGCTATCACTAGGAGAGTGAGTAGCTGTGTGCAATCAGTGCAATGGATGATGGGAAATGTAGTCCAGGGTATAGTGTAACAGTCTGTGTAGTGTGAGAGTCCATGTAGTGAGCGGGTGACCTCTGGTGGTGAGTGAACGGAAGTTCATAGATCGGATTCGTGACAATCCATATCTTTGATTGAGCACATTCTGGATCTTATAAGTGCTCCTTTTACCTTTTCTTGTAAAAAAGATCCAAGTTCTTCTTTTTTCTTGTTTAACCTTTCATTATGCACAGCTCCATTATTATTCAAAATGTCTTTTTCCAAAAATCTCTATGTAAAGTCTCTATGTAAACTTTTAACTGTTGTTTTCATCAATGCAGTAGAATATGAAGTATAGCTTTGCCAAAAAAAAAAAAAAAAATCCTAATATTTGCTTTACTGCCATCCAGGCCAAGATTGGCTAATCGGGAGCACCGGGAGGATTCCCGGTGGGCCGGTCTGTTTTTTTTTGGCCGCAAGGGCCACGGTTTTGTTATGCCACTGGGTTGAGACTGCCATCACTCATACAGCAGCCCCACTCTTTTTATTTATTATTTGCTCACAGCCCATATTATTATTTTCACCAGACCATTTCAATAACAAACTTAATCATTCTTTTTGCGCAAATCATTGTTTTATTTGTGAAGTAGTCATTTGAGGAAGGCTTTAAGACCAAGCGGAATCCTCTGCTGGTTGCTCCTGCTTCACAGCGAGCAGGACTCGAGCTAACGGCAATTCCCTTCACCATCCGCGTTTTGATTTCGCCAAATCAGTTTGGGAGAATGCAAACAACTTATTGATCATTAGCCCAACATCCAGCAAGGCAGGAAAACATTCAATCTACCTGAGGGAAAACATCTTTCATTGTAATGCTGTTAAAGAGAGAGAGAGAGAGAGAGAGAAAACTTCTAGCGTATTCTTAAACTTGGACCACATTATTGAAGTGCAAATTCAAGCACCAGAAGCAGCCCACACTCTCTAAGTTTTCTTTAATTGAAAAATATGCATTTTCATTCATTCAAAGGCTATATGGTAATTTCACAGTATTTTCACCTCCTAAATTATTACACTTGTGAAGTCACAGTTCTATAATGGTACAATTTACACAGGTCGATGACATTTTTTGTATGACATTAAAATTATTTTTAGAATAATTGTACATAAATAGGTTAAACAAATCAATTGCGATTATTTCTGAGAACTTTTTAACTGCAGGCAGACAGCCTACATTATATGGTACAGTACAAATATTTGGACCATCCCTTATTCGTGCATTTGAACATTTTATTTTTGCAAAGCTCTTTTTTCTCTCCGTAATTTGGCTGGAATCTTCTTCAATCTGAACCTCTTCTTCTTAAATAGGGCTTCGTAGCTAACAACTTTCTGCATTGACACCACTGACCATATGAATTTGTCTATATCCGGAAAAAAAATCCTTCACCTCAACAGTTTTTCCAAACGTCAAGTCCAAAAAATCATTAATCTCTTGCACTGAGTATGTTTCATCTATGTTCTGTGACTCAAACTCAGAAATGTCAGATAACTCAGACAATGTATCATCATCAATTTCATTATCCTCACTTTTTTCAACATCATCTGATCTTTCAGTATTTTCCATACTAATCACTTCACAAGGAGCACTTTCACTTACTTTCTCTGCAACTGTGACTGTACTATGTTCCAAGACCTCATGTTCCTCTGCCACGTTCACTGTTTTATCCTCTTTGTTTTGATGTCCGTCTACACTTTCACATGATTCATCATTGAGCAATACTCTCCTCTTCAGGCTGAGGCTGCATTGTTGTATTATTTACCTTAGCTACAGATACACCGCTAGGCCCTGCGGCCTCCTCATTAGCCTGGGCTCTATGTGGGCATGCCAACTTTTTGTGCCCAATATCTCCACACTCAAAACACTTTAAGCTACCTGTATTGACATAGAGCATATATGATTTTCCTTCATGTACTACTCTGAAAGACACATCTAATTCCGGCACATTCAGAAACATAAACACCTGTCTTCTGAAAGACATCACATGTTTCAATGCTTCATTTTTTACATCCTAATGGGATTGTTTTAATCGCACTAGCACATTTACTATACTGAGCTAATGCACGTTCAATATCCTCAATTCCAATAAATGGTGGAACATTCGATATATAGACTTTTGTCGTGGGTGTAACAAACGGTGAAACAGTATCAAAATCGCCACTTACCACAATCCCGTTGCTTATCAGGCGGTTTACTAACTTCTCCTCTTTAACAAAAATCACTACCGCTTTATTCATCCTGGAGGCCGAAGAAATGTTGTCACATCCAACCTCTTCTCTGACTGCCAGTATTGCATCCTCCACCGATACACCCTGAGCAGGTACGCATCGGATTCCATGACGCCGTGAAACAGATGGCTCTCCCCCCGACAGAAGTGACGCCATTCCGACGCTTCGGCGAACACCACCAAAGCGTGGTTTTGGAGGCCAAGATGGCGGCATGATAGGTGGACGCGTTTTTGGAGGTGTCATCAGGAAATTTGAAATAGGACGATTATATAACCGTGATAACAGGTTATTTTTGTGTGTAAATGTGTAAGTGGTTTTCTACTCATATTTCTCACCTTGCACTGATTTATCTATGGGCAGAAAGAAAATTAGACAGATTTCCAGTGAGACAACACGAGAGTCAACTATGGAGCCTGTTAAAAGTGCTGACATGAATGTTAGCATCGTCTCCTCTGTGGATTTGAGTTCATCAGGAAACTCTGAGGATCTTAACAACTGGTTTGACTCACGCCCAGATATGAGTGATCTCCTTGCGATTCCCCTACCTGAAACTCCCTTAAAACCTGCGCCAAAGAGTGCACTAGAGTAACATCCAAAATGAAAAGAGATCCTATGGATATTAGCGACACCTCAACGGAAATTCTGACGGCCATTCGTGAGCTCTCTGGAAAATACGATCAGATGTTCCAGAAAATTTCAGAAATTGAAATAACAACTGGGTCAACGGCTAAGCAGATTGAGACTTTGTCCTCTACTGTTACTCAGCTTGTTACTGAGGTAGCAATGCATAAGGAGTCTCTGAAAGTTGTGGCTACGGAGATTCAGGAGCTCCAAAATGCGAATAAAACCTGAAGGCTGAAATTGGAGAAAGCAAGCTTTACAGCTGGAAATGGATATTAAAATTACACGGCGTGAGAGAGAAGGATGGAGAGGATGCTCGGAAAGTTGTTATTGATGTCCTTCGCAACGGAGTGCCTGGCATCAGCGATGATCTTGAGGGTGCCGTTGACATTGCACATTGTCTTGGCCCAAAAAGAGGGGATGATTCCCACAGATCCATCATCATTTTGTTTGCACTCCGTCGTTTTCGCGACACCGTTTGGCAAGCTACCAGAGGCTGTAAATTCCTTCTCGACAACAAGTTGCGACTCACCGAAGCCCTTTCGCCAGAAGATAGGATTGCCAGAGATAAATTTTGGCCTCTTGTTAAAAAAACCAGAGATGAGGGCAAACAAGCCTCCTTTCACGTCTCCTTCGCATTAAACGACGGGAAAAGATTCAATTACGTTGATGTGAGATAGACTTGTCCCATGGTTAATGTTTATGGTTCTTAACCATATTATCTCTGTGGACTTTTTTCAAGACTTTGATGACATGACTCGACTTTGTGATTGACCTACACTTGAGGGCGATCTAATTGACTAAATATTGTCTGCTCTTATTCCACAAGTGGAAAAAAGTAAGTAAATATGAATCGCTTTTGGTTCCTCCTGTTGAACTTACAAAGTTAACGTTAAATGCTGGAGTGTATGTATCATGGTTAATAATGTTCTGTATTTAAACTGACATTCAGTTCTTTTTGCATACTTGCAATAGAGTAACATGCAAGGTTGTGAAATATATATTATTTAATTTTGTACTCGAGGATTATGTTCAGTTATATATTGTTCCTATCTCAATTTAGAATTTTGTCTGTTCAGATTTAAGAGGTGTTAGATTTGTTTTTGGTGTTTAATGGAATTTAAGTTTAATTCCTTTTCTGCTGTATGTGATGCTGTAAAGAGGAAAGCTGTTTTTTTGTTCTGTAAAAGCAGTCTGATATCTGATATAATCCTTCTTCAGGAAACACACTCATGTCAAATGGATGTAAAGTTTTGGAAAAATCAGTGGGGTAATACTATTTATTGCAGCCACAGCTCTAACCACTCTGCTGGAGTTTTTAATTATTTTGCACAAATTTAAAGGGCAAATACTTGGGGTAAGGTCATCTGACGAAGGTAGATGGATTATTTTATCGCTTAAACAGGATAACTCAAACTTTGTTATTTGCAATATTTATGGTTGTAATTCTCAAACGGATAACAGGTCTCTATTTTTTCAGATAACCTCTGAATTGAAAGAAACATACCCTGATTTTAGGCGGTGATTTTAATGAGTGTGTTGACGGCACTTTGGACAGATTTCCTCCCAGATGCAACGATGGTCTTCATTTAAATAGTAACATCTTAGCATTATGTGCAGTTTTTTTCTCTTACTGATACATGCCGTTTTTTTCACCCTGATTTACATGAATTCACTTGGTCTAATAGAAATAGGTCTTCCCAATCAAGAATTGACCTCTTTTTGCTCTCTTCCTCAGCTCTTCAATTTGTAAAAGATATTTCTCACTCATTTGCTCCCCTGTCAGATCATAAACAAATAAGTTTAAAATTGTGTAGCAATACTGATAAAATTCCAAGGTTACGTGGTTATTGGAAATTTAATAATTCACTCTTAAAAGATGCTTCCTTTAATGATAGTATTAAAAACTTACTTTCAGGTATATTCTCAAAAAAAA